TTTGGGTCATTTTAGCGAGGTGGTGATTAGCGAGGTAAGTCAGAGCAACGCCGCGGGCTACTTTGGGAGCCTTGCATCATGGTCAGCACGATTACCCTGTTGTTTATTTCCCTAGCTAAGATGAATCCTGAACGGAGGCAGATGTGAGATCTGTAACATTTGTGGTACGTTTAACTACAGCTTGAGTGGATGATCACGTTTCAAAGACACGACCAGTTCCAGTTGAAGCTGCTTTGCTGAGGATGCACTAGTCACTTGGGAATCAAGCGAGTGTCTCCCCACCACGCATTGTCATAACAAGACTGTCCTTCAAAATGATGATCCTTTGCTGTTTGTGAACAGTAACTACAGCAATTACTACCCACAGCAACAAGAGGACAGACTTGACACAAGGAAAGAAAGGTTGACTTCAAGAGCCATATTTGTTCAGATAAGCAAAGTTTATAAAAAAAACCTAAAGACGACAACATTTTGATATAACATCTTTCACTGGGCTTTTGCTATTCAAATTTAGAATATTTATTTTGGCTCCAGTGGGTTTTCTGATGAGCCCTTATGTACATCAACATTTCGGAGAGTTTCCACCATTGCTCACTAGGAATTTGCAAAGTGTCCTCTAGAAACACCTTTTCTAACTGAATAAGCTCAAAAAGGTGTGTGTTGGAAGGGCAACACTTACAAGGATACGGGATACTTTGATATTGAAAGCAACAGCATGCAGAAGAATCTCAGCTGAGACTCAAACTCAAAGCATTCCTTTTTAAAATCCAGAGCAATCCAAATTTCGGTCATAGAAGCATTTTTATTTATATTTTTTAAAGAGGATGGGATTGAGGAAATCTTGAGTAGAACCATCCCTTTACTGTACCTTTTCTGCTCCAGTCATCTTTCCCCTTGCCCAGAGGGCTGTAGCACTCAGTCTGCCCCACAGCCAGAAGAGTTTCTGTGGTGGCGTGTCCAGCCGTACGCAACCACAGCAGCACCGCAGCTCTCCAAAGGGCAGTGTATCCTGCACGTTTGCTCAGCCTATTTTAATAGCTGGAGAATTTCACCTATTTTCCAACTGAATTCAGTCCCTGACAACAGAAATCACACCAGCTCAACATCTCAGCCTGATTTACGGCTATTTCTTCGTGGGGAAAAGAGAAGACAAGTGGAAAAGCAGCTGAACAAACAGCAGTCCTTAGCGATAATGAATAAGGGAAAACCCAGTGGGTTTGACTATAACTAATTGCATCCCTTGTCAGCAAAAGCTCAGGAAAGCCTGTCCCATGTGTGTGCACCTACCATGCTTCCGCACCACTAATAGCGACTTTCCCTCTTTTCAAATCACTGTCTCCTGCGTCAGCCTCAGTCTGCTGCTGTTTTTACTGATGCTGAAGGAATTCAATAGCCATTAACTGCTAAACCTAGACTAGCAGGAGCCAAGTGTTACCAATGTATCTGTTTCCAAAAAGACCAACAGCAACAGCAGGCCGACAGTTTTTAAGGGCTGTTTCATGTATTCTACAGCAAAGAACAAAGTATCTTGCCTGACAATGTCATGTGTGGTTTTCGTTATTTTCATTAAACAATGATCACAAAGCTGTTTAGCATTCAGCACAAACACGTCTCTGACTGCATGCTCAAACAACTTACCTGTAGATCAAATCAGGACTTCAGCGTTAGAGGTAGGAAGAGGCACCCAGTGTCTCCTTCTTTACAGAGTTCTTAATTTCACCTTTTCCATCATAACTCTTTGACCTGAAGGGTTGGGTTTTTTTGCCCTAGCACTTGGTCTTTCATGGGGAACTCAAACAGGATCAGAAGGGAGTCATGGCATGTCCCAGCAAACTTGCAGCTTAAATTCACAACACAAAACACCAGCGAGTACTTCACGTACGGTGGTGTGAAACACAGAAAATCTGGTCGTTTACCCAAGATGAGCCTGACTGAATCAGTGACTGAACCAGGAAACAGTTTAGACCATCCAATTTTCAGGAGATGCTTTTACTAATCTCTGCAAACAGGTTTGTTAGGTAAAGCAAACATCTGTTGACCATCCAATATTGGCTTCTGCTTCGAGCCACTTAACGTGCTAAGTTTCAAGAAAAGGTCTCACTATGATGGGACTACTATAAAAGTTAATATTCACCCAGAAATAAGAAGATTACTCCATGGCTGTGAATATATCACCCTGAGAACACATCAATATCTAGCAACCACACTAAAAGCAACACTTTGCTCTCTTCGTAGTAGAGAGTATTTCAGGTCAAATTTGGCCCCATTATATCAATTCTGCATGGCTTTTGGACACTTGACCCAGCAAGCATCACAAGGCTTTTACTGACAGTTCTCTCAAAAATCCACTCATCTAGCAAGGTGTTGGCCACAGTTGGAGAGCTGATTGTCAGATAATTGGGATTTGTATTTTTTTATCTCCTTTTATTTTTCAAGATTTTGATCACTATGCCACAGCACTGAGTTGTCATTAGCAGTTGATAAAGCTTCTCTTCTGGTTGGAAAGCCTTCAGCAGTGGACCAGACTGTAGAAGAGAAGATAAGCCCTCAGTGCTACAAGGAGAGGTGGGTTGTATGCACTAGAGATATATTCAAAGGTCTACAAAAGTAACTCCTGCGAAGGAGTTACGACATTAAAATATCAATTCTTCAACAGGTAGCGTGTGTGTCAGCTGCAGAAAAAGAGGAGAGTTTCAAACTACAGCTTTGGCTTATGACCATTACATGGAGAAGATTTGCTAGCAATAAAAAGAACCAATGCTTCGAGGTTGCTAGTAGGCAGCTAGTCTCCAAAATAGTCACCTACAGGTTAGGAAAGCACTGGAAAAAGAGACTTAGCCTTCTAGAAATTTCAAAGTGAATATCCAAGAAAATAAAGTTAGCAGTTTCTGCTATTTGACCAGTTCATCTTGTTCAGTCATGATAACGCGTTAGAATTCAACCTCCAGAAGGGATGCAAGGAACACTTCAAAATGCATTTATAGTGGTA